GACAAGAATCATAATGATAATGACAGCGATAACATGAATAGCACTGAGAACACTGAAAACTAACACTGACAAGACTGATAGAACTATGTAACTATGCCAATGATAGCATCGACAGCTCTGATAGCACTGATAACAATAATATTACTGACAACACTGATAACATTGAGAGTAATAATGGTATTGATATGTATTGATAACTCTTGTAACACTAAAGCACTGATAGCATTGAAAACACTGATGACATTGATACCGCTGACAACACTCATATCACTAATGGCACTGATAGCAATGATATCACTGATAGCACTGAAAGCAGTGATAACACCGATAGCACTGATAACAATGACCGCACAGATAATACTGATAGCAATGACCACAATGATAACACGGATAGCAACGACAACAATGATAGCACTGATAATGATGATAAAGAGAACATTGACAGCATTGATATCACTAAGAGCACTGATAACACTGAAAACAGGGTTAGCAATGATAGCACCTATGAACAAATATTCTCATGACAGTGACGACAGTGACGACAGTGACGACGACGACGACGACGACGACGACGACCACGACCACGACGACGACGACGACGACGACGACGACGACGATGACGATGACGATGACGATGACGATGATGATGATTGTTATTATTATGTATTGTTTTTAGTATTATAGAAGTTTTCGTTTTATTGTCATGTTGTTTTTTAAAACATATACGATTATATTTGTTTACATCATTATATATTGTTATATATTATTGTGTATATATATACACTACTATATATAAGTATATATTAATATATAATATAATAAATTATTATCATTATTAATGATGATGATGTTGATGATGATGGTCTTTATCATCCGCCACATTCAGGTTGGAGCACCAAGAAGATGACGAGGTGGAAATGTGGGACATTGTGGGACCAACCCGTCCACCGTGTTTTCAGTGTTTCCACTCGTTGCATCAGCTGGAAAAAACTAGTGTTGCTCCCTGTAGTATGGACATGATGTGAAAATTCTCCATTGACATTTGCCCGTCATGTGGAAGTATGGAAGTATGCTACAGCGAAATTTCTTTTGAGAGATTTGGATATGTTTTGTCAGATTTGGTCTATGATTGGTGCTTCCATTTGATGTTTGCAATTCGACCGAAAATTGTGAAGCGCGGAGCTTGTGCAAGAGCTTCAAGACATGCATATCATTGTTGAATAGCTACTACCAGGTGGTGTCCCATAGTTGAGTAAGTTGCTTTATGACTCCAGAAACTAGGGTTTTATATATATATATATTGATGTATAATTATACCATGTACGTTTACGGGTTAATCATTAAGACTGGTTAATGAATAAAAAAACTATAACAACCTATAGTTATCATCCAACAGTTGCCCCCATATACCAGCATAATTGATGTAGAAGGCCTCACGATATGAGTTTTCTGCATATCAAATCAGTCAAACATGCAACATGTTTCATTGGTGGGACAGTTGCAGTTGGATTTCCATGTTTTATGTGTGATTGTTGCACTTTATGTATGCTTTTTGCAGTTTATGTTTAGTTTTTCAACATATTTCTTCATCAGAGTCCAAATATATTTTCACAATACTTCACAATTAATTTTTACAGCACAGGGGCCAACAAAATCTCCTCTAGGAATTCCACATGTTTTCACCTTGGCTAAGGCTACTGTGTTTTTGTTGGTCTTGGTCCATACAACAGTTTTTGTGACGGCAACCATCTTATGAATATCAATTCATACATATGTACACAAGTACGATTTCATACAATTATGTATACACTATTGTAAAAATATACTTACGAATTATACATAAATTATTATATAAATATACGCAGACACCATCATGTACTTTCAGACACTTTCGGGATAAAAAATCGTCAACGGTGTCGTACCTCAATCTGGCCGGGACGTCCATCCATTTTTCGGCATTGGTTCGGTGATGTGGTTGAGAAAAACCCAGGGTTTTTTCGCTGTAAAATCGTGGTTATTTTAAGGGTAAACACCATCATAGTTGTTGATTACTGGAAGGGTAAACTTCCATGATTACCATGATTGTTGCAGGACGAGCTGCTGTGCAGGCCGGGGTTTGTTGATATTGGTTGTGGATGCGAACATCTATTTCCGGAATACACCTCTACCATGGAACAGTAGGTAACAAAGAAGAACAAATTTGCAGAAATTGGCCATGTCCAAGACAAACAGGATTTGATTGGACACATGTATTTTATGGCAGGGGTTGGTAAATGTCCTAATGGGACATCACCCAAATACCGGGGATATAATCTCCAACAGATAGTTGAAAATGATGTTCCAAATCCCCAAAATGTGACATTTACCAAACCCTGTATGAAATGTGCTGTTTGGTATATACAGATATATGTATACAAATGTATGCATTAACAAGACAAACACATGGAGTTTGATGTATTCGTGCCAGGTTGTTTTTTCCTCGATGGGTCACCTCCCAGGTCAAGCAGTTTTTCGCAAAACCTTAGGCCCAGGGCTGGGTATGTTGCGGAAGATCCAAATTGGAACTCCAACAAGAGATTATTTGATATACTAACACAACAATATTTATACTGTGCATATACATATATATACATATGTATCGACTGCAGCTATCAAATTGAGACAGGAAACATATTTTTTCCCATGCTGTTCTTTAGTCAGGGTGAAAGCAGTTTTGACCACGATAGTCAACTGGCATATCTTTTTAAAACCACCTGTTTAATTGATTGAATCTGAAATTTTCTTGATGAAAAACTCTAATTCGGTGGTGATGAGTTAATTCGTTTGTTTGGATTTGGAAAAAACATGGTGAATTTGACTCATTTGACCCCCTAAATTTTGGGCCGTGTCGCAGGCCAGAAAGCGAAGGAAATGAAGCCATTGACCTGGAGACCTGAGTCCGCCTTTCAGGTCCTCTTGATGGTCAAAAAAAATCAGAAGTTAGTGAAATAAAGTTTCACTTATGGAATGATAACTATGATCAGCCCATGACATCCATAAAACATCAGTATTATATAAGTATAATTTCATGAACCGCAGGATGGGGCCGCCGTTCGATAGCGTTCAGTTGAGATATGGCTGTGGCTGGGTTCTATGGTTTATGATAGATATAACTATATAGATAACTATACTGAATATTTTTGCCAAAGACATCAGCCCGCAGTTGGCTCAAGCGGTGTGCGGCATGGTCACACCCTGACAGTTGTTTTTCAACTTTTTTTTTGTGTTACTCCGAGTGGTACAGCGGTCGGGAAGTCTCTTCCTTTGGCTTCATGAACGTCGGGGCGAACTGTTTGAAGCAGGTCCCCGAGGGGTCAATCATGTGGGGTTTATCTCCATATGTTTTTCAATCTTTAAAAGAGGCGAAATAGGGGTTAAACAATATGAAACATCCCAGAATGTGATCCATTGCGCCTATAGATGCCTATGGGTAGAATCATCAGAAAGGGCAGGCCGGTGTTTGAAAGCGGAATCATCGATTCTCTGTCCGTGTGTGTGTGTGTCTGTGTATGTCCCCTGGGACATCGGAGCAGACGAAATCCCACCTAAATCATTTGTTGCAAGAGATCTGAGCACTGCAACTACTTGAATTCACCAATGTTTTTTGTACTCGGATATCATCCCGAAGTGCATTTAGCTTAGGTTGGTGGACTACTGACTATTAAGGTTTGCACAGATGAGATGCTTAAATGACATAAAGCCGCCATGTTTGAAGGATCTCGTGCCATGATTTTGCAGGTTGACCATGGTTGACCTTTCTTTTTCATTTTTTTCCATTTACCCTCTGGTAAACTAGCATAGCTATGGAAAATCACTACTTTAATTGGGTAAATCCACTTATTCTATGGCCATTTTCAATAGCTATGTGGCTGTTTACCAGAGGGTATTTTCCCGAGATCCCCCATGACGTGTTTTGCAGGACCTCTATGACATCTATGTGAAGAACACGTTTTTGGTCTTCGAAGTTGAAAGCGGCCATGACGGTGGAAAAATACATCGAGGTCGGCGAGCTGTTTCCTGTCCAGGCTTTTCCAGGTCTACGGTGAGCCCGACAGCAGCGTGGCTGAAGTGTGACGAAGCTAGTGCCAAAGTTGGAAGGTCCAGTCATAAGATGTTATAAGTGGATATACTTCTTATATATATATATACACTATATATTTAAATGATATATATAATATGTATACTATATATTTAAATGATATATATATGTATTTATATTATATATGTTTATATAATATGTTATTTATATATTTATATATTTCGATAATATATATGTTATATAGTATATATTCATATATAATATATATTGTATGTTTATACAATCTATATTTATCTAATCTATATTCATATAATACATATTACATATTTTCATAATATATATATATTTATATCAAATATATTTATCTGATATTTATTTATATGATATATAATATATATATATATAGTATTTACTTAATATATACTCAATATAAAACCCGAGTTTTAGATGTCATTAACGGGGCCTCATCTCCCCAGGGGGCTTTTGGATAGCAGGGTCCCATGTTTTTTTGGTAGCGGCACCACGCCACAGTCGGAGTTCCCCAGCGTTAGATGCCATAGTCACCATCCCATTCACCAAAATGACAGAGGGTCATGGAAAGATCCACCATTTTTAATAGGTAAACCATCTATTTCGATTAGGGCCATTTTCCATGGCTATGTCAAATAACCACAGGGTATATAATTACGGTTCTGTCATGTCAGGTGCGAAGGATGACACGCACAAATCACAGCAGAAGTGTACCTGTTTACCGCAGGCATTTTGGATTTGGAAAACAAAGGCGCGGGAGTTGTCAAGGGTTATGAGCCCAACCCGACGCTCTACTGGGCTTTTTTAGGTCTTTGGTGCCATGGAAAGGGCACAGTCAGTTCCTTTGAGAATCTCAGCTGAAAGCAATCCGTTTTGGTCCCAGAAGATTCAGGACGAGTGCAAGCTGGAAGCATCGAGACCTCAAGCACTACCTGTGGATGGTGGTCTTAGTGGACAGCCGAGTCAAGCGGCATCAGGAGAAACCTCTCAGTCTCAGAAAGCGCTGGTGGAACCTTCTGGGAAGGGACGTGGAGGAGGAGCTCGTGAAGGCTCATGCACTCCGCTTCCTACAGAGCATGGGTCTGGCGCAATGAGGACTGAAGGTCGGATGCCGGGGTGTGATGATCCGGTTTTGTCACAAGGCCATGTCAAATCTGCTGGAAATAGTGGTATGGATGAAAACGGTGACGGTTTACAGCGAGCCCTAGAAGGCGAACTTGTGGAGTTTTTGAGAAATCAAAATGTGAAGCTCATGCAAGAGCTAGAGTCTCTTAAGGGGCAACTGCAAAGTGGGACGGCAAAAGCCGGTTCAGGGGATGCTTCTTCACCGTGGTCAGCTGTGGATGGAATTTCAGCTGAGGGTTCAGGTGGAAATGGAATTTTTCATGCTGAGCGTCATGGTAGAGAGGGAAGTAGAACTCCTAGGCCCAGAACTCGTGGACGTGCAGTTAGCCCTGAGGCTTGTGAAAAAGGTGATGTGGTTCGGTTCACACCAAATGGGACCAAAGTGCCTGAAGGTCCTCCGCCAAGGGATGAACCGATGTTGCCTCCAATCCCTCCGTTTCCAACTGCAGCAGGTGAGCCGCTTGTGGAGGGGACAAGTTTTGTCAGCAATTTGTATGATACATGTGAGTCAAAACCGCATGTGAGAAATGGTGACAAGTTGTGGAAACCTCAGAGTGGTCAAAACACTGGGGATGTGATGACAGCTAGCGAAGCAAAACAGACGTGGTTAGAAAGGGAGGTTCAGTCCCTCAAAACTGCTCTGAATCGTGTTTCGGTTCCTGATGCAATTCGACAATCTGGATACTGGAATGGTAGTTTTGCAGAAAAAACGGAATGTCATGTTCCTGATGTGTCACATGCAGCAGCTGCCAACCGTCCGCTCTGTGGTGATCGAGCCCTATCTGGTGGAAGTGGAGATGTACCTCAACAAGATCGGGCTTGGCATGGTGGACGTGGTGAAGTATCAGCTCACGATCGGGCACAGCAGCTGTTTGGAGATCTACCTGGACTCGGTCGGGCTCCGCAATTGCATGGTGATCTACATCAACGTGATCGGGCATTGCATGCTGGTCTTCCTCAACGCGATCGGGCTTTGCATGCTGAACATCCTCAACAAGATCGGGCTTGGCTTCCAGATCTACCTCAACAAGATCGGGCTTGGCTTCCAGATCTACCTCAACGTGATCGGGCTTTGCACGGAGAACTACATCCTGGACAAGATCTACGTGGTGCAGCAACGGTGCGCGATCTTCATGGTCTTCATCAAGAAGGTGGTCCTCATGGTGGAGTGCAAGGGCATGGAACTTTGGGTGTCGCACCTATGCCGGCATCTTGGGAAGCTTCTGGAGGAGGTGGCGGCGGAAAAGCTGAACTACCTGTATTGCCGAATGGTGCATCGCCTCTGGAGTTTGGAGATTGGCTTTGTCTATGTGGGCCAATCATGAAGGACTTGTCACATGTCGCTGGAAGATGGTGGGATGCAACGGTGCGACAAGCGTATGCCTTCTACATGGAATGGAAGGGTCTATCTCCTCTTCAGCGAGTTCAACTTTGTCCTCGTCTCCCTGATGAGTTGTTGGCAGGTGGCTACATCAGAACGGAGCAAAGGGGTGTCACGTTGTTGCTCAAGGCGGTGAGCGAAGAGCAGCAAAAGGAGCTGGTGGTGGATCGAGATTTGACCAGTACGGCAATTTTGTTCCGCCTCTATGTGCGGCATCAACCAGGAGGACCAGGTGAAAAGGCAATCCTCTTGGGGCAATTGACCTCACTGCAAAAGGCATCTTCGATGCAGGAATTGGCTTCTTCTTTGAGAACATGGCGGAGATACTTTGCAAGGGCAAGGGAGGTGGATGCAAGTTTGCCTGATGGAGTGCTGCTGATAAAGGCACTTGAAGCTGCGGTTGTCCAGATCGCCAAGGAAGACTCCCAAGCAGCGTTCAGGCTTTCCACAAGCCGACAACAACTTGCACTGGATCAACGTCCAACGGAGCAATCAATATGGAGTTTTAGCCAATGTCTTCTTGCAGAGGCGGAGACGCTGAGTCTGCTGAAATCCTCCTCTACAACAACAGCAAGTGCGAGCACACCTGTGAGGCTCAAACAAATGGATGCTGAAGCATCAAACTCACCTCAAAAACCAGGCACTCCTGGCAACTATGGCAACAAGTCCGGCAAGGGACACTCAACTCCTATGTCGGAGCAACCATGCAAGTTCTTCAAGAGCGACACTGGATGCAAAGCCGGACGAAGCTGCAAATGGTCTCACTCTTGGGAGGGCATCGAGGACAAGAACAGTCGATGCTGGATCTGTGGCGGCAAAGATCACAGAAAAACTGAATGCAAAGTCAAGGGCAATGGCAACAACTACAAACCTTCGTCCAATGACTCTGGTTTGGGGGGAGGACGTGGTGGTGGAAATCAAAATGCAGCCAACAACAAAGCGGCTGTCAAGCAAGCTTCAGTTGGAAAAGGTCATGATGGTGGAGTTGCAAGCTCAACAACTGATCAAACCTCTTCTAGTACGTGCGCTGATGGTCCAGGACTGGGTGCTGAGAGTAACTCCCTTGGGACTTCATCTAGTGCAACCTCGGAGGTGGATAAGGGGGGAGCTCCAGCTGCCACTCCTGCGACCACTGAACTGTTGGCAGAAGCCACACAGTTGCTGAAGTCTTTGCGTATGCCCAACCTGAAGGTGATGCGGCTGTCAAAGTTGGAGTCTCATGCTCAAATGGTGTTGTTGGACTCTGGCGCAACACATGGCCTACGTCCTGCAGCTTCAGAAGAAGAATGGCAGTCGGGCACAAGAACTCAGGTGATGTTGGCTGATGGTGTCACAGAAAGCCTCCGTTTGAAGCCTGGCACCAAAGTTTTGCTTTCAGATCCTCTCCTTCGGCCTGAAAATACCTCTTGGATTGTTCCAATGGGATGCTTGAACGAGCTCAACTACAAGTTGGTGTGGAAGGACCACATGTGCCATCTCTACACAAAAGCTGGAGAAAAGATCGATGTGGAACTTCACAATGGATGTCCCTACGTTGCTCATGAATTTGGAGCGAAACTGCTGACGGTTTTGGAACAGCATCAAATTCAACAAGAGCTGAAAAAGATGACCTTGAAGTCAATCTTGACAAGAGGGGCTGCCGGTCTTGGCGACAAAATGAGCATTGAAATGGCGATGCTTGTCAAGCTCAAGGAGGTCATGCCGACTTTGCCTGAAGATTTGGCGTTGAAGCTGGTCCCAGATCTCTCAGTGCTCACGGACCCCAACATCGGCTTGAACCTTCCATGGAATCGCAGAAAGCGAAAAAGACTCATGATGGCAAGGAATGTGATCATCCACATGTACAGTGGACCTGATGCTTCTTACTGGGAGCGGCGTTTGTCAAATGAGCACACTGAGGTGCTGTGCGTGGACTTGGAAGCCTCAACACCTTCAAATGCTTTGGATGAAACAACCTTTGCGTTTTTGCTTTCCTTGTGCGCCAGCAAACGTGTCAAAGCTCTACTTGGAGGCCCTCCATGCAGAACAACAAGTGCTCTCAGGTTTCAAAAGGATGATGGTCCACCAATTCTTCGAACAGAAGATCACCCATACGGTTTGCCATCATTGACTCCACAACAAGCTGAATTGGTCACCAATGACTCAATTCTGTGGCTCCGTTTGATGCTGATGTACATCCTCTGCGAAGAAGTGCGTCCAAAAGAACAAGCTCAAACTGCATTTCTTTGTGAACAACCTCAAGACCCAGCGGAATACCGCAAGAAGGAGGATGTGGATGAGCACCAGTACTTTTCAATGTGGAGAACTCAGGAATGGAAAAGCTTCCAAGAAGCCTACAACGCCAAGCTGATCTCCTTTGATCAAGGGCCTTTTGGACACCCAAAACGAAAGCCAACCACCTTGGCCTTGATCAACATGAATGAGATGATGCAGCTACAAGATGTGCGAGGTCGTGGAGCTGAACCTGAAGTTGCTCCGCTACCAGAACTCAGTGTGAAAGAAAGATGTGCTATGTCAAAAACTTGGGCGGCTTGGGCACCTGGTTTGAAGGCTGCAGTTGCTGAAGCAATCAGCAGATGGATTCGCCGTGAAGCGCCTCCACGTGAAGGACCTGAAGATCCTGTTGGCGTTGTTTACGCCGATGATGATGTCCGACCTGCTGGTGTCGCTGCCATTGGAAATGTTGCCCTTCAACAATGGAAGCAACACTACATGCAGGACCACATGCCGGCCCGTCGAGATTGCAGCCACTGTGTACGTTCTCAAGGTCGCAGTCGAGCACATCGCCGAGTTTGTCATCCGGAAAGCTTCACTTTGAGCTTGGACATGTCTGGTCGGATGACTGGTGGCAAGGACCAAACTCCTGGTACCAACAAATACTTCTTGGTTGGAGTTTACACATACCCCGTCAACAAAAAGGGGAAACCACTCTTGTTGCGTCCTGACCAAGATGAAGAGGAAGATCACCCTTTGCCTGGCCTTGATGACCCTGAGCTCTCTGGTGATCCTCAAGAACAACAACCTGGAGATGGTCAACCACCTCAACAACATGTTGAACGAGATCAACAACAAGCGAGCCATGAAGCTCAACATGAACAAGGTCTTCCTGCAGGTGTTGCACAAGATGAACCTGATCCTCTCCAAGAAGAATCGGTTCCTGACCTTGTGGAAGATGAAGACGTGAAGTCAGCCTATGGAATGCACGACACTTGGATGCGTCTTATCAATGAGTCCAAGGATGTCACTGTGCGCAACCTCACTTTTGCAGAGCCCATTGCAGATCGAAATGTGCACAACGTGCTGCCAGCGATCGCCAAGATCTATGCTCGCTTGCGCTCTTTGGGTTGCCCTGTGTACCGAATGCACAGTGACCGTGCACGTGAATTTTTGGCAAAACCTGTCCATCAATGGTGTCTTGACCGTGGAATAGTTCAAACTATGACGCCTGGCAGTGCTTTCAAAACAAACGGCAGAGCTGAAAATGAAGTTGGGATGATCAAAAAAGGTGTCCGCACTTTGATCTCTGCTGGAGCATGCCCTTTGGACAGATGGCCTCTTGCGGTGCGACATGTTGGAGAAAGACGTCTCCGCAATCAACTCAACCAAGCAGGCTGGCCAGTTGGAAAACTTCTGAGGTTTGGCTCAAAAGCCTATGCCCTCAAGAAAAGCTGGCAAGATCGCTACGCTCAATGGCGTGATTGCCGAGAAGAAGTTGTGGTGTGGGGCCCCGCTGAAGGATCTTCTATAACCACCACAACATACTATGTCAAAGCAATTGCAACGGAAAGGTGCTTCTACACTGATGATGTGGTGATTCCTGCAGATGATGGCATGAATGCAGCTGTCGATGCTGGTCCCGGGGGAGAAGTTTTGCCATATCTCCCTGAATGTGATGAAAGACAAGCTCAACCGCTTTTTTGTGATGGTGTGCCAGCACGAAGATTGAGATCAAAGACAGCTCCGCCACCAGCAATTGCCACTATGTCAATGTTGCACATTGAGGGGGAGAAGCGCATCCTTGCAAAGTTTGGCAGTGCGTTTGAGTTTGCGCTGCCGCCTGACAATGAAGTTGCCTCTGAAGGTTCATGGACTTTGGAAACCACGCTTTCTCCAGCACAACAACATCCACCTCAAGAACAACAAGAGGTTCATGATGCTCCGCTACCAGGGCATGATGATGAAAAGGATGGTGATGGGGGGCAAACAGAAACTGATGAAGTTCATGATAAAAAGGAGGAGGAAAGTGATGTGGAGGAGGATTTGGGGGAGGCGCCTAACAGCAGAGATGGTGGCTCAAGCTCTGCGGCCTCAAATGTATCAAAAAATGTTCTGGTTAGAATGTCAAAGATACAAGCCCTCCAAACCATCCACGACAATGTCTCGGACTATATAGCCGAGGAGATCTGCAAGCTTGATGGCACCTTCCCTGAACAAATGTGGTGTCTCCCTGAGCTCAACAAAGCTCTGGTTAAAAAGGTTGAAGTTGAAGAACAAATTCAACTGCTTGCGGATGAAGATCGAGCTGAAGAACAACAACAGCTTACTCATGAGTTTTTGGTCACCAAAACGGTCAGCAACAAAGAGGTTCGTGAAAACCTTGCCGATTGGACTGAATCCATCAAGGCTGAGTACGAGCAGCTTGTCGTCAACAAAAAGGCTGTCAAACCAATGACCAGAACGGAACTCCAAAAAATGGCTGAAGTGCAGAACAAAACTTTGGAGATCCTTCCAGCAAAAATGGTTCACACTAGAAAAGCTGGATCAGGAGCATACCGTTCAAGAGCAGTGGTGTGTGGAAACTACCAGACACCGAATGACGACAACACGTACGCTGGAGGTGCTGATGCAACACAGATCCGAACAATGCTAAGGATCAGTGCTCAGTACAGATGGAAAGCTGCTTCAACTGACATACGAACGGCGTTCCTCAATGCGCCGAGAAGAGACTCCAGACTCATAGCTATGGAAGTGCCGCATGTGTACAAAATGTTGGGCCTCGCTGGACCTGATGAAGTTTGGCTCATCATGCTTGCAATGTACGGACTCCAGGCTTCACCAAGGGACTGGTGCCTTCACCGTGATGCAGTTTTGCCAACGCTGAAGTGGACAAGGCAAGGTCCAAATGGGTTGCTGACTGGAAGTTTTGAGAAAACAAAAGATGAAAACGTTTGGCGCTTGGAAGAACTGGATGAATCAGGCTACATCCACTGGAATGGCCTCATGTCGGTGTATGTGGACGACATCTTGGTCACTGGTGAAGAGTTTGCAGTTCATGGCGCTCTACAAGCTCTCTCTGGAGTTTGGACAACGTCTTCTGTGGAGTGGGCTGGTGTTGACAAGCCTCTCAAGTACTGCGGTTTTGAGATTTCTGAAGATGCCAAAGGCGATGGTTTTCATGTCAACCAGCACATGTACGAGCAGGAGATGTTGCAACGTTGGAATGTTGATGAAGGAGCTGAATATCCTCACTACAAAGTTGCTGAGGATCAAGAAGTCGAAGAAAGCCCTGACCCAAATGATGTCAGGACAGCTCAAGCTATGGCTGGTTCTTTGCTGTGGTTGAGCTCCCGAACACGACCTGATCTTGCTCATGGAGTTGCAACTATGAGCAGGCTCATGACAAAGGCTCCTGTCAAAGCCATCCAGATCGGCACAACGTTGATGAAATACGTCAAGGGAAACCCTGGCGTTGGTTTGAGGTACACAACACATGTTCCTGATGACTGGGGTGCCCATGGCCAGCTGAAGGTGAAAAGAAGTGACCTGCTCCTGGAGATCTTCTGCGATATCGCCTACTCTGCAGGTTCTGGCCATAGAAGCGTCCAGGGGATCGTTGTTTGCCTTGGTGGTCAGCCGATCTGTTGGCAAACAAGCCAACAACCTTTTGTCACCCACAGTACGGCTGAAGCTGAGCTGGTTAGCTACTGTGAGGGCCTGATCGCTGGCAAAGCAGCTGAAGCTCTGGTGATGGAGCTCACAGGTGTTACAGCTGTGATGAAAGTCATCTATGGTGACAACATCGCCGCGATTGGACTGGCCAATGGAACTACAGCCTCTTCATGGCGAACAAGACACTTGCGCATCAGAGCAAGTCTTTTGAAACAAGCCCTGGATGAAACTGATGCAGCTGGAGGCCAATGGAAGCTGATCCATGTGCGTGGCCTTGACTTAGTTGCTGATGGTTTTACAAAGCCTCTTTTTGGAGCTGCCTTTCAACGTTTTGTTGAAAACCTTGGCATGAATGCACCGTTTTTGCGGCCTGAAGACCCTGAAGTACGTGCGGCTCAAGTGAGAAGTCGCAACAACCAAGAACGTGCTCATGCGGGTGCTGCTGCAGCAATGAGTTTTTTTGTTGGTCAGACGTTGCTGACAGAAGCCACAGCTCTGGAGTTGAAAAGCGAGAGCGATGAAGCTGATCCGTTGTGGATAGCTGCGGTGCTGCTGATGATCCTTGGGGCAATCTATGCAGGCAAATTGACATTGATGTCAGCGAAGTGTTGCCTGAGACGATTGCAATGGGTCGACGAGCCTCAAGCAGTTGTTTCAAATGATGGTGATGAATCATCAGGCTCCGCTACCAAAGATGTTGAAATGAGATCAAGTTTGAGGCGACGCTTGAATGTTTCGAGCGGATCTGGCCCTGTGCAGGCCCTTAGCAGTTCAGGCCCTGTGCAGGCCCCTATGGTGATGTCTCTCAGTGGAGTTGGCCCTGGGCAGGCCTCTGGAGCGTCTTCGAGCGGCGTTGGGAACTTTGGCCCTGTGCAGGCCTCTGGAACGTCTTCGAGTGGCGCTGGGAACTTTGGCCCTGTGCAGGCCTCTGGAGCGTCTTCGAGCGGCGCTGGGAACTATGGCCCTGTGCAGGCCTCTGGTGCGTCTTCAAGCAGCACTGGAAATGTTGGCCCTGTGCAGGCCCCTGTGACGATGCCTTCGAGTGGGGCTAGCACTTTGAGCAGTTCTAGCCCTGTGCAGGCTCTTTCAGGTGGATCTATGAGTTTTGGCCCTGTGCAGGCCACTGGTGCGTCTTCATGCAGCGCTGGAAGTTTAGGCCCGGTGCAGGCCTTTGGTGCTTCTTCGAATGCGGCTGCTGGCATATCTTCGAGCACTGGATCTGGCCCTGTGCAGGCCTCTGCGGCTTCTTCAGGTCCTGAGCAGGCCTTTGCGGCTGATGTGTCCGGCCTTGAGCAGGCCCTGAGCGCTGTAGCAGAAATCTCTGGGCATGCTGCTGCTGGTGGTGACATTGAGCGTGCATTGCAGCGGCGAGCAGCTGAAGTGAGCGAGGCACTTTTGGGTGGTGAAAGGTCGGAAATGACCTTGCATAACCCATGGAATCTTTTTCAACATGAACATAGAGGCAAAGGATGGTCGCCAGCACAGATGTCAAAGATGTACAAAAAATGGCGAAACCATCATAAGGATAAAATGCCTTGAGCCTACCTTTTTAGGTCTTTTTGTCCAATTCAATTCAATTGGCTGGGTGCCAAAAATTCATTTTCTTCTCCCATGCGAATCGTGTAAACACGATTGGGGGAGTCTGTCATGTCAGGTGCGAAGGATGACACGCACAAATCACAGCAGAAGTGTACCTGTTTACCGCAGGCATTTTGGATTTGGAAAACAAAGGCGCGGGAGTTGTCAAGACGGTAAATGGCCCAGATAGCGTATCTCGAGCCATACCCCGATCCATACCCGTTCCATACCCGATCCATACCCGAACCCAGTCACGCCACAACAAATGCCAATATGAAAGTCCGATTCTATTACTGCTTGCTGCTGCTGCTGCTGCTGCTATTCCTACTCCTACTCGTACTCTTACTCCTACTCCTACGCCTCCTACTACTCCTAGTTCTACTGCAGCTGCTGCCGCTACCATTAAATTACTATTATTACTTTGACTTTACTAGTACTACAGTACTACTGTTACTGCTATTGCTATTTCTACTGCTACTGCATCTTCTCCTTCTATTGCCACTACTGCTGCTGGTGCTGGTTCCTTTTATATACTGCTCCCTCTACTAGCAGTGGCAACAGTTTTAGCAGCAACAGTAGCAGGAGGAGAAGTAATAGCAAGTATGAGATAGTTGGAGTATCAGCACAGTTTGTATGCTATGATGAGCCCTTACGAAAGGGTACGGATCAGGCACCTTACGTAAGCACCCCCGATCCATAGTACGGATCACCGCGGAGCGATCCATACCCGATTTTTGACTCGTACCCATATATATATATATATATCCAATTTTTAGGATTGAATCCAATGCTTTATATATGTTATATATACTGTTCTGGCATAAATTTAATGCACACCTCTCTTCAAGATTCTGTTGCTATAAAATTGTCCCATAATTGCCCAGTTCAATCCCACCATTATATAGCCTATATCAATCCATATTCTCCTATTAATATCCTATATACTATATCCCATTACTATTGGGGATGCTACCTTGCATGTCTGGAAACTTGCCTTGTATTGTCACGTTACACTGCACCAGCAGCTTCGTCGATGCGTAAGATATGCGAACAAATCGATTCGTATATTGTATAGTTTTGATTGTTTTTAATTTTACTATCAATGCATTATAATTTTATTTGCTTTATAAGTGTTTATATACAGTTTGATGGTTTGATGATGCATGAATACCCTTCATTATATAAGTATCCCATGTTGTTTACTTTTGCTAGGCCATGCCACCACTTTTTCTTCTGGCTGTCTTGGCCGCAAAAAAATCACCAAGTATAGGAATGACATCAACGGAGCCACATGGAGATGGCGGCGGACTCGTGGACTCTTTTTTTTAGGTTCTGGGAATGGTACCGGCCCAGGGCTCTAGCATTGAGAAGAACAATGTCGTTGAAACTACGGCGAGCACTATGGCACCCCGGCAGGTGGCAGGTCGATAGTCGACGGTTTCTCTTTCTGAGGCGCTCGAGACTAGTGAAGAGCTGATGAGTTTATGGTCGAGATTAGAGATTCCTCATAAGGTAAACCAAATTTTACTTAAAGCATGCCTAAAATCGCAATTTTAATGGGTGGTGTATAAACTATCCCCAGTCAAAATAGGTTTATGGCGGTTGCCCACATTGTATCTACATGACACGCTCCAACCAGAGGATGGTCTTTGCGCATTCCGCGCCTGGCATCCATGGTGACGACATGTGACGACTGGCGATCCCTACTTTTCAGGAATGGCCATGGAACAATATCTATAAATACCATTGTGAGGGGGATGAACATTTCATTTACCAGCTAGTTTTGATGTGAACTACAGGGGTACAAGGTTTTGACATGTTTTGACCCATCCCCAAATATCACGAAAAAATACAATTGAAACCATTGGATGATTTGGGGGTACCCCATGACTGCCCGTCGGAGCAAGGCTTCTTGGGGTCGCTCGGACGGCGACGGCGACTTCGGCAGCAGGTCTTCAGAAGATCTTGAAGCCGCCACTCGGCTCGGGCCGTCATGGGCCGTGAAGTCACGAAGGTTGCTGGCTCCTGTAGTTGCTACCAGAAGTCGTAAGCTTCTCCCTTTTCACAACGTGCTAGTGAGCGAATAACTCAAATAAGTTGAAGTGAAAAGAGGCAAACGTATATTCGAAGGAAGTTTAGAAGTCAAACTTCCGACAATATGGACAGATGCAAAGCAGAGGTGGGAAGAATCAAAAAAGAGAAGGGAAGAAGAAAGAAGATCAGAGAAGAGAAAGAGTCAGAAGAAAGAAGATGCAGGTGCGCAACAGAAAAGTCTCGATTCACTGTGTTTTACCAATGATTTGTGGCTCCGGAGGGTCGAAAAGTAGGCTTGCTAAAGCGGCGGATACGGAGCCATCTGGCGGGATGAGAGATGAAAAATTGCACACCATTGTGGCGCGAAGCAGATGTGGAAGTCAAAATGCTTTGAAGACACCACAGGTTCGGAGCACTTTTGGAAGTTGAGATGTTCAAAAAGTGCACGGCGTTCTGGCGCGAAGCACATTTCGAAGTCAAAAGGTTCAAAGCACCTCAGTGTCGGAGCACTTTTGGAAGTTGAGATGCTGAAAAAGTACATGCCGTTGTGGTGCGAAGCACATTTCGAATTGAAAACGCTAAAGACACCACATGTGCGGAGCACTTTTGGAAGTTGAGATGTTTAAAAAGTGCACGCCGCTGTGGCACGAAGCACATTTCGAAGTCAAACGTGTAAAAAAACGAGCGGTCTCTGAGCACATTTTTGAGGGTCTCGCATGGCAGGCGCAATGGATTTTGCACGTCGCCAAAAATGAGCCAATTTAAATAATATGTGGAGGGCGGGCCAGACCGCGAGGCCCCGGAGGTAGTATGAAATACCAGTTCGTATATTTAAATGTAGTTGCCGTATGTTTAAATGACTTGGATTCCGTATGTTTAAATGACCGGGCGGGCCAAGGAAAACTTTCCCGGAGGTAGTGTAAAATACCTGTTCGTATATTTAATAGTCCGTATATTTAAATGTAGTTACCGTATATTATATATATATATCCAATTTTTAGGATTGAATCCAATGCTTTATATTTGTTATATATACTGTTCTGGCATAAATTTAATGCACACCTCTCTTCAAGATTCTGTTGCTATAAAATTGTCCCATAATTGCCCAGTTCAATCCCACCATTATATAGCCTATATCAATCCATATTCTCCTATTAATATCCTATATACTATATCCCATTACTATTGGGGATGCTACCTTGCATGTCTGGAAACTTGCCTTGTATTGTCACGTTACACTGCACCAGCAGCTTCGTCGATGCGTAAGATATGCGAACAAATCGATTCGTGTATTGTATAGTTTGGATTGCTTTTTAATTTTTACTATCAATGCATTATAATTTTATTTGCTTTATAAGTGTTTATATACAGTTTGATGGTTTGATGATGCATGAATACCCTTCATTATATAAGTATCCCATGTTGTTTACTTTTGCTAGGCCATGCCACCACTTTTTCTTCTGGCTGTCTTGGCCGCAAAAAAATCACCAAGTATAGGAATGACATCAACGGAGCCACATGGAGATGGCGGCGGACTCGTGGACTCTTTTTTTTAGGTTCTGGGAATGGTACCGGCCCAGGGCTCTAGCATTGAGAAGAACAATGTCGTTGAAACTACGGCGAGCACTATGGCACCCCGGCAGGTGGCAGGTCGATAGTCGACGGTTTCTCTTTCTGAGGCGCTCGAGACTAGTGAAGAGCTGATGAGTTTATGGTCGAGATTAGAGATTCCTCATAAGGTAAACCAAATTTTACTTAAAGCATGCCTAAAATCGCAATTTTAATGGGTGGTGTATAAACTATCCCCAGTCAAAATAGGTTTATGGCGGTTGCCCACATTGTATCTACATGACACGCTCCAACCAGAGGATGGTCTTTGCGCATTCCGCGCCTGGCATCCATGGTGACGACATGTGACGACTGGCGATCCCTACTTTTCAGGAATGGCCATGGAACAATATCTATAAATACCATTGTGAGGGGGATGAACATTTCATTTACCAGCTAGTTTTGATGTGAACTACAGGGGTACAAGGTTTTGACATGTTTTGACCCATCCCCAAATATCACGAAAAAATACAATTGAAACCATTGGATGATTTGGGGGTACCCCATGACTGCCCGTCGGAGCAAGGCTTCTTGGGGTCGCTCGGACGGCGACGGCGACTTCGGCAGCAGGTCTTCAGAAGATCTTGAAGCCGCCACTCGGCTCGGGCCGTCATGGGCCGTGAAGTCACGAAGGTTGCTGGCTCCTGTAGTTGCTACCAGAAGTCGTAAGCTTCTCCCTTTTCACAACGTGCTAGTGAGCGAATAACTCAAATAAGTTGAAGTGAAAAGAGGCAAACGTATATTCGAAGGAAGTTTAGAAGTCAAACTTCCGACAATATGGACAGATGCAAAGCAGAGGTGGGAAGAATCAAAAAAGAGAAGGGAAGAAGAAAGAAGATCAGAGAAGAGAAAGAGTCAGAAGAAAGAAGATGCAGGTGCGCAACAGAAAAGTCTCGATTCACTGTGTTTTACCAATGATTTGTGGCTCCGGAGGGTCGAAAAGTAGGCTCGCTAAAGCGGCGGATGCGGAGCCATCTGGCGGGATGAGAGATGAAAAATTGCACACCATTGTGGCGCGAAGCAGATGTGGAAGTCAAAATGCTTTAAAGACACCACAGGTTCGGAGCACTTTTGGAAGTTGAGATGTTCAAAAAGTGCACGGCGTTCTGGCGCGAAGCACATTTCGAAGTCAAAAGGTTCAAAGCACCTCAGTGTCGGAGCACTTTTGGAAGTTGAGATGCTGAAAAAGTACATGCCGTTGTGGTGCGAAGCACATTTCGAATTGAAAACGCTAAAGACACCACATGTGCGGAGCACTTTTGGAAGTTGAGATGTTTAAAAAGTGCACGCCGCTGTGGCACGAAGCACATTTCGAAGTCAAACGTGTAAAAAAACGAGCGGTCTCTGAGCACATTTTGAGGGTCTCGCATGGCAGGCGCAATGGATTTTGCGTGTCGCCAAAAGTGAGCCAAAAGTGTGGGTTTTTGCAGCGCAGTACAAGAGACATGTTCATCAGAGATGTTAGGAAGTCAGGGCGCTGATTTCCTGAGAAGTGTTGCATGTTGGAGCATCAGATCTTCAGGTTTGCTAAGATGATTTTTGGTGACAGGTGCAGCACTTCGGATGACCTGGCTTCACGTTGTCGTGGCAGGCGCAGTAGTTTAGACAGATGGAATGGAAAAATCGCAAAACGCATTGGTACCAGGCCGTCAGCTCTGCACTCAACTTTCCATTTGGAGGAAGCCCCGCGCAGAATTGCTTCCTATATGATGTTGTCAACTTTATCATTGAGCTTGCCTCTTTTCAAGCTAGATAGCGGGACAGCTAGAGACAGATAGATAGATAGATAGATAGATAGGATAGATAGGATAGATAGGATAGATAGGATAGATAGGATAGATAGGATAGATAGGATAGATTAGATCGAATAGGTCGAATAGATCAAATAGAATAGATAGAATAGGTAGAATAGATAGAATAGACAGAATAGACAGAATAGACACACAGACAGACAAACAGATAGGTAGATAGATAGATAGATAGCCAGGTTGCTTAGGTTAGTTTAGGTTCGGTTTAGTTAGGCTAGGTAGATAGGTAGATAGGTAGATAGGTAGATAGGTAGTTAAGTAGTTAGGTAGTTAGATAGTCAGATAGATCAGCAGATAGATAGATAGAAAGATAGAAAGATAGATAGACAGATAGATAGATAGATGGATAGGTAGATAGATAGATAGATGGAAAGATGGAAAGATAGATAGACAGATACATAGACAGATACATAGACAGATAGACAGATAGACAGATAGGTAGATAGGAAGATAGACAGATAAATAGGTAGATAGGCAGATAGGTAGATAGACAGAAAGACAGATAGACAGATAAACAGCTAGATAGCTAGATTAGCTAGATTAGCTAGCTAGATAGAAAACTAGAGAGGTAGGTAGATAGATAGATTGATTAGATAGATTAGGTAGATTAGCTAGATTAGATAGGTTAGCTAGATTAGATTAGATAGGTAGATAGATAGATAGATAGATTAGGTAAGGTTAGGTTGATAGGTAGCTAGGTAGATCGATAGACCAGCAGATAGATAGATAGATAGATAGATAGATAGAAAGATAGATAGATAGAAAGATAGATAGATACATAGATAGATAGATAGATAGATAGAGAGATAGATAGATAGAAAGATAGATAGATAGAAAGATAGATAGATAGAAAGATAGATAGATAGAAAGAAAGAAAGATAGATAGGTAGATAGATAGATAGAAAAATAGATAAATAGATAGATAGATGGATGGATGGATGGATGGATAGATGGAAAGACAGATAGATAGACAGATAGACAGATAGGTAAATAGGTAGATAGACAGATAGACAGATAGACAGATAGGTGGATAGGTAGATAGACAGGAAGACAGGTAGACAGGTAGACAGATAAACAGCTAGATAGCTAGATAGCTAGATAGCTAGATTAGCTAAATTAGCTAGATTAGCTAGCTAGACCGATAACTAAAGAGATAGGCACATAGATGGACAGATTAGATATATTAGATAGATTAGCTAGATTAGATAGATTTGCTAGATTAAATTAGATAGATAGATAGATAGATAGGTAGATAGATAGATTAGATAGATAGATTAGATTAGGTTGGGTTGATAGGTAGATCAGCAGATAGATAGATAGGTAGATAGATAGATCGATAGATAGATGGATAGATGGATAGATGGAAAGATAGATGGAAAGATAGATGGAAAGAAAGATAGACAGATAGACAGACAGATAGACAGATAAACAGCTAGATAGCTAGATGGCTAGATTAGCTAGATTAGCTAGATTAGCTAGATTAGCTAGATTAGCTAGCTAGACCGATAAATAAAGAGATAGGTAGATAGATGGACATATTAGATATATTAGATAGATTAGCTAGATTAGATAGATTAGCTAGATTAGATTAGGTAGATAGATAGATAGATAGATAGATAGGTGGATAGATAGATAGATAAATAGATAGATAGATAAATAGATAGATAGACAGAAAGCTAGGTAGGTAGGTAGGTGGGTGGGTGGGTAGGTAGGTAGGTAGGTAGGTAGGTAGATGATAGATGTTCGATAGATGGATGGATGGATGGATGGAAGGATGGATGGATGGACAGACAGACAGACAGACAGACAGACAGACCGACAGACAGACAGACAGACAGACAGAGAGACAGAGAGACAGAGAGACAGAGAGACAAAGAGACAGAGAGACAGAGAGACAGAGAGACAGAGAGACAGAGAGACAGACGGGCAGGCTGGCAGGCAGGCAGGCAGGCAGGCAGACAGACAGACAGACAATGAAACATAGAGACAGAGAGACAGAGTGGCAGAGTGGCAGAGTGGCAGAGAGACAGAGGCAGAGAGACAGAGAGACGCAGAGACAGAGAGACAGAGAGACAGAGAGAGAGAGAGACAGACAGACAGACAGCCAGCCAGCCAGCCAGCCAGCCAGGCAGGCAGGCAGACAGACAGACAGACAGAGAGACAGAGAGACAATGAAACATAGAGACAGAGAGACAGAGAGACAGAGTGGCAGAGAGACAGAGTGGCAGAGTGGCAGAGTGGCAGAGAGACAGAGGCAGAGAGACAGAGAGACGCAGAGACAGAGAGACAGAGAGACAGAGAGAGAGAGAGAGAGACAGACAGACAGACAGACAGACAGACAGGCAGGCAGGCAGGCAGGCAGGCAGGCAGGCAGACAGACAGACAGACAGACAACTAGACAGATAGACAGGTAGACAGACAGACAGATAGATAGATAGATAGATAGCCTGACACCCCAACCACCTTTCGATACGTCAGTGGGTTCGCTCTGCCTTCCATGACTCACAACCAACCTCTCCTATAGGTTTCCTATCTTTGAAACTTCCGCCACCGCCTTGTGCGGTACTACTGGCAAAAATCAACATTAATTGGCCATGTATCAATACATAAAAATACTATATCACACTTTGCTGCTCTGTCATGTTTCGGTTCCTCAAAAGCATGATGTTTCCGCCGAACTGTCAGCTGGAGGAGGTGACAGAGGCTCAAAGCCCGGCTTCAGCGGCTACAGCGGGCGAGAAAGAAAACTTGGAGCTACACAAGAAGATCAACAGGCAGCTCTCAGCAGGTGCTGGCGGCTGGTGTTTTTTGTGGGTTTTTGGTTGATGGATGTTGATGGATAGTAGAATGGATAGCGCCCGAGGAGCAAGTTTGGGAAATTGACAGGTCAACTCTCGTGAAACTACATGTTCCTGTTTGTCTGTCCGTTTCTCAAATACAACAAAACAAGAGATACCAATGAAAACGACAAAATAGACAAACACAACATCACGAACTAAAACAAGAACGCAAAAAATAACGAAACAAAACAACAAAGAAGAAGGACACACAAAAAAAATGTTTCGAGCGATGACATACATTTTGACATGTTTTCTGGCATTCTATGTGCTGACATATATATATTATTATATTATATTATATTATATTATATTGTATTTTATTAAATTATATTGCGTATATTTTCTTATATTATTATATGTTATATTTTTTTTATTATATTCTATTTCACTTAATCATATTTTTATAATAATAATATATTAAACTATATTATATGTTATTATATTATATTATATTGTATTATATTATATTATATTATATTTTATCCTATTTTATCATATTTATATTATAAATTATAAAATATTTTATTTTGTTATATTATATTAAATTATGTCAAATTATATCATATTTTGGTATATTATATTATATGATATTTATATTATATACTCTGATTTTCCATCTGATATTTTGTCTGATTTTATATCTGAGATGCATTCTGACATTCTATCTGCCATATGGTGGTTTCCTAAAATAGGGGTGCCTCCAAATCATCCATTTTAATTGGATTTTCCATTATAAACCATTCAGCTATTGGGGTACCCCCATGACAATGGAAACCACCATATGTTTTAACAGCCTGTTTGGCATTTTATCTCGGACTTTGTGTCCGGCCTCGGGAACCCCTCACCTGAGGGGAGAAAAACAACAAATGCCCCTCATGCGAAACTTGACATTTCTTGCAACCTTGACTTTTACACATTTTTTTGTACAATATATAAATGTTTTGAAATAATCACTTTGCATCTTGAAGTCAGAGGAAATTGATGATTCTGGGGGACTGGACATTCTTCAAAATTTTCTGATCAAACATTGAACTATGGAGTCGTATTTTCATTCGGAGGCGAAATCGAAACTTATACAGTTCGAAACATGTACAGGATGGGGCCCCCCAGTTATAAGTTGGTTTTTAAACCCCACGAAAACTATATAGTTATTAGTTATATCTACTGCTATAAACCATAGAATTCAGCCACCTATATCTCAATTGAACGCTATCGAACATGCTATGGAAAGAGCCTGCCGAAAAATCCTGGAAACAAACAACGATGAAAGGTGCATCTTTCATCAGTTTTCAGGAGATTGGAAGCAACAATCCTTGCAGAATGTGTTTTTCATGTGCGCGCAGGTTCTACGCCGGCAAGGATTTTGTTCGTGGTCGACACTTTGCCGGCTCACTTCCAAACATTGATGGTGTTGTTCAAAAATAGTGATGCCCCAATTGATGGCCATTTGTTCATGCGGAAATCAACCATGAAATCTTGGAGTAACCATCTTCTCAATTCTTTTCAGACAAATTGAGTGATGTTTTGATTAAATGGCATAGGATTTAAATCTATCCCAGATGCCCCATGTATGGAATATTTACCTACATTTGGGCCATTTTTGGGGTAAATGTAAGTACATATTCCATACATGGAGCATCTGGGTATTTTATACACGTATTCATATGAGATAAGATTGGTGTCAACATTCCGTCTGAAGCATCCCGGCAGGCTTGACATATCGATGTGGCAGGGTAAACCCAGGAGTGTCAATATCAGAAAAATCAAGCATGAGCATTTTTTATAAGTATCAGCATATCAGCTTCCATATTATATATATATATATACATATGTCTGTTTGATGCTTTGTTATGTTCCTGTTCGGAAGATTTGGAACTGACGTCACTCACGTGTCGCAACTGTCGCAATGCCCAGTGCCCAGGAACGAAACCTCTCGGTGATGAATGGCATCAATTTATCCACCGCCTTCCATCGCCTCGGTCGCTGTTCACAAAAACTTCAGGGCCGACAAGCGCCGCAGCAGCGATCTCGGGATCTTGGAGGGTCGGACATTGTGTTTAGCCTTGCTTCTAACATGGAATTGAATACAAAACTGGTAGATCCAACAGAAAATGACTGATTTACTCATTAAAAAAACTCGAGTATACTCTATAGTAACTATCATTTACTCTGAGGTTTTTCCCATTTTTCCATTTGTTTGGGGTTTTCGGTGTTTCTTTAGGTGAAGGTACTGATGAGCATGGTGGAGCTGGCAGAAAGAAAGGCACATGACGAGTTGCAGATGCACGATGGAACGCTGCCGGCCAATTGTTGCACCATCATCGCCTGGTACCTGAGACACAGATGGGATTCGCTGATGTGGAGAATTGGTGGTTTTCAACAAGCCATGAGCCAATAAAAGTCCATGCGGAAAAAAAGGTGTTTAATAGTGTATAAATGTGTATAATATGTTTAATTTGTTTAATACATGTTCATATAGACTAAAATCTTTGTTTTTTTTTCGGGCTGGGCTTTATTTTTCACCAGCCATTTGACGTGGTGTCACCTCTTCATCGCCATGGCATATGGAGGATGAAGACATAGAGCTAGATTTCTTTCCGTATCAGACACTCCGTGAAAGATTTCCTGTTTGAATCTCATTGACCTTGGGTCCTGGATTTCTCAGGCTAGAGATGCCCAGACTTTTCCATATTAGTTTCCATAAACAATGTTTCGCGAGTTGGTCAATTGCGTGGCAAAACTCGGTCCATGCCGATCACGAGGTCCTGTGCGATGTCCTTGTCCCATCGGCTGATGAAAAAAGAGGGGTTTGAACGTTTACCCCTTTAACAGGTTTGTTTGATGATGGACCAAACCGTTAAACCGGCTTTTTTTTACCGGACATGATTGAAGTTACATCTACCAAAACTTAGGTGTCCCAAGTTTGCCATCGCAAAAAAAGGGTATCCTTTCTACCTTGACATTGTCCTACTGGTGCTTAGCAGGGAATGAGGGAATGATCCATAATCACTAGTAATAATCATCCCAGCAACCCCCAATCCAATCCATTCCCTACGAAGCACCAGTAAGTTCTTGACGAGGTCCTGTGCGATGTTGAAGGTCTTTTCGGGACCTTTGTTCTCCGCATTGATTGCGGTGGTGGCTAAGAGTGCGAGAGCTTGTGAAGTCTACGAGGTGAGCAACCTTCTTTGGGCTTGCGTCCAATATCAGAAGCCTGGCGACCAAAAATGTTTAAACGTCGACTTTTTTTTAGTGAAGCCATTTTTGGGGGGATTATCTTTAATATCAATTTATAATAAGTTAATATATATATATATATACATATATATATATACATATATATATACGTATATGTACATATATATATACATATATATATACATATATATATACACATATATATACATATATATATATATATGAGAGTTGCTTTTTAACCCCGTAGTATTCGTCAAAGGAACATTGATTTTAGGATTTTGTAACCTGGCAGCCATATGGCTCGAAACGCAGGCCGCGCAAGAGCGCGCAAGGGAGAGCGCAAGGATATTTTATATACATGCAAATTTCGTTTTTTCCTACATATTATATCTTCAAATATATTGCATGTATGTTTATGTACGCCAGGAATTGGCTGGGCACGAGGACATAGAACAAAATCTAAACGACTCTCCTCCTGCGGTTTCCAGAAACACGGGGTGTCTTCCTACACACCATCTCAGACACATTGCTCATGTGTGTGTGTATGTGGGAGGTTTTGCAGTCGACGCCCGTATTTTATCACACTTTCCTTAGGGGGAATAAGCTTACGTTCTCTTCACCTTGGGGCTTTCGATTTCCAAAACGGCCATTTTGGAAATCACGTACTAAAACAAATATTGGAAGAGGGCAGTCGACACCTATTTTAGCACACTTTCCTTTGGGGAAATGAGCTTACGTTCTCCTAATTCACCTTGGAGCTTTTGATTTCCAAAACGGGCGTGTTTAAGTTCAGCTTCTTTTCCGGAAAGAGGGCACAGCCCGTGAGCGCCCCCCCAAAAGGGTCTGAAACCGGTCTGAAACCACTCTGACTCTATGCTCCTTCGGATACAACATCATTGCTTTATTTTGCTTTTTAGTTCCAGGAATGATGTGTTGATTTTGTATGTTTTGGTTTTATTGCCGGACCATTTCGAAGGGCAATGGCCGTGTTTAAGTTCAGCCTCTCTTCCGGGAAAAGGGCAAAGCCCCGTGAATGCCCCCAAAAGGGTCTGAAACCGGTCTGAAATCACTCTGAAACACCTTCCGGCTCACCATCTCAGACTCTATGCTCCTTCGGATGCAGCATCATTGCTTTAGATTTTGTATGTTTTGGTGGTATTGCCGGACCATTTCGAAGGGCAATGGCCGTGTTTAAGTTCAGCCTCTTTTCCGGGAAAAGGGCAAAGCCCCGTAAGCGCCCCCAAAAGGGTCTGAAACCGGTCTGAAATCACTCTGAAACACCTTCCGGCTCACCATCTCAGACTCTATGCTCCTTCGGTTACAGCATCATTGCTTTTGCTTTTTAGTTGCAGGAAAAATGTGTTGAATGGCCGTGTTTAAGCTCAGCCTCTTTTCCGGAAACAAGGCAAAGCCCCGTGAGCCCCAAAGGGTCTGAAACCGGCTTAAACTGCCGTTAACTGCTCACCATCTCAGACTCTATGCCTCTTCGGGTACAGCGTCATCGCTTTGGAATTGCAGGAGAAATTTGTAGATTGTGTGATTTGGTTCCATTACTGGACCACTTCGAAACACCTCCCCGCTCACCATCTCAGACTCCACATTCTGTTCTTGCAGAACTGATTCCAGGTCAATTTTTCAATGCCTGTATTTTTGTGGAACCATGCTCATAAAAAACCCTTCCAAAACCATAAAGGTGACTGAAACGCAGGCCGCGCAAGAGCGCGCAAGGGAGAGGCGCAAGAACTCCTAAATGGAAACGATCTTAAAGGAATAAAAAACAACCCCCATATATATATACATATATATATATATTATACATATATATATATAGCATATATGGTCCCGTCATCTGTCTCTCCACCCCCCTGTTTTTATCTTGACCTAATGACCTAATACCTACAGAGGTACATGCATGAGTATTGAGCACATCTATATGCGCCCTCAAGGCTCAAGAGGTATATAGAGTAACCCTGTGGAAACCGCACTGACCGGCAATACGCTGAGAGTAAAAGTGTGAGCTGTCTTGGGAAGACGCCTTTGCTGATCTTGAAGTAGACGCTAGGGCCCCTCTTCAAGTGGTAGCGGAGCAGTGATCCTTCATTGAAGGTGAGCTCCAGGTAGAGCCCAGCAATGGCACGCCATGGCTATGATGATGATGACTTCGACATTGTCGATGCAGATGGATGGAACCAATATGACTCTTACGCAATGAGAAGAGCTCCCCAACAAACACAAATTCATATGACGCAACAAATGACCACGAAGGTAGCTCCAGCATATGATGGAAAAACTGGTTTCCTTGCTTTTGAAGATGCAATTTATGACTGGTGTGATATCACGGAGTTAGACCCTGAGAAACGTGGACCAGCCTTGCGAAATCGTCTGGAAGGAGATGCTCTACAATACAAGAGGCTATTGGACAGAGATATGCTCAGGGATCCCAATGAAGGAGTGAACTATTTCAAAAGATTTCTACGACCTCATTTCATCAAGGGTGCCCAGAACGTGTTCTTATACCGTTTCATGCAGTTCATGAAGTACAACAGAGGAACTATGGATCTTCAGAAGTGGATGACTAGATTTCAACTGACTGGAAATAGACTTATTGAGTCTTGGATGGATTTACTTCCAGAACCATCAGTGACAAATCCTGAAGCAATCCAATTTGTTCAACAGAAGCGACAAGAACATGAACGAGATCAGGTAGAGAAGGCTGAGTTGGCAGCAGCAACACCAGGTGCAGCTCCTCACGTAGTCATTCCCTGGTCAGATGAACTGGCATTGGTGGCATTCAGTCAGCACAAGGAACATTGTAGACAACTACAAAGACAGGCATTCCCATTGGGTGAAAATTTGGTAGCATTGATTTTTGTAAGTCTAGCAGACCTGACACAGGATCAGAGAAACACACTCACAAGTATCATGACACATCGTGGACGAACCCTCGATCAATACAACATTCAAGAACTACGTGATCTGTTTTTGGAAATGTTTGGCGCTACCAAAACAGCAGTTGACAATCCAATGATGCAACCCTCTGGCATGGCACAGAGAAGATCTTTCCTCGTACTGGATGAAGGTGAACTAGAAGGAACCGACGGCTATTGGGCCGAAGATGAAGAAGACGGCGCAGAAGGATTCCTGGATGCTTTAGAAGATGTTTTCTGGGTTTATGATGACGCTGACTACACATGGTATCAGAGAAGGTTCCAAGGCAGACAGACCAGACGAGGCAAAGGTAAAGGAAAGAGAATAGGAAAAGGAAAAGGCAGAGGAGGACGAAGGTTCTTCAGATCAAGGAAAGGAAAAGGCCGAGGAAAAGGAAGAAGGAAAGGCCGCTCTAGTGAAGAAGGTTATGAAGAAGATTGGCAAGAAGGAGAAGAATGGAATGAATCCTATGAAGGCTATTGGCCGATGATCAAAATTGGAATGAAGGCTATTGGGCCTATGATGATCTGTACTACATGGATGAGTATGGATACTTCCAGAATATAGGAAAAGGAAAAGGAAAGAAAGGCAAGAAAGGCAAGGATGATGATGGCAAAGGAGGAAAGCCAGGAGATGGAAAAGGCAAGTCAAACTATTATGTTCAACCTCAGACCACATCAACTCCTGCCATACAGAATCAACACCAACAACAAGCTCATTATTCTTCTGCTGCATCAAGCTCTGGTCATGGTTTCTTTGCTTTTGCAGAGACTGAACCAGCACGTGTTGATGCCCTGGCATCCACGTATGCAGAACAAGAAGTACATCGACGCACTCGTCGTGGAGGACAGAACCAACGTGATGCAACAGCACAGCAAAACAGAGAAGGACTCAAGAAGTTCCCTGTTCCGGTTGGAGATCTTGTTGCACTTCGACAAGGTGTACAACGACGTCCAGCTCGTGTGCCCAGGCAAGTTGGTCTACAAGAAGGTGAGGCTTCATGGAAGCCGTTGGCAAAAGGCACATCATGGTTTTCATATGGATGCTCTACAGAGTTAGAGGTACCATCTCATTCTGAATGCTTTGCTGAGACAAAGGAATCGGGTGAGCAGCAGAGTGCTTTTTCATTTCATACTGTACAGACTGATCTGGCATGTGAGAAAGGACTAGCTTTTCACACAGAGAATTCTGCACCACCAACTGTATGTATCTGGATCTTGGATGCACAAGAGCTATGGGTTCTCGACGAGCAGTTGAAGCATTTTGCAGATATGTTGACTCACATCCCAACAGTGGACTCTGGTATGAAATTCAGCCAACAAGTTCAAGATTCTTCTTTGCAAATTCACAACAATCCAAATGTACTGAGAAGCTCGTGATATTCATGTATGATCATGGATGGAACACTCAGTTCACAGAATTCGACATTGTCGAAGAAGGTGATGTCCCATTGTTGATGTCACTTCCACAGATGAGAAACCTTGGATTTCAATTTGAACTTACTCCAGAGAAGGCTTATTTGTCCTGTGCACGTATTGGCATGAGAAAAATGGTTTTGAAGACAGCCATCAGTACTCATCTCATTCTCGACCTACAAGATGTAGCATGGTACATGAGCCAAGTTCATTTCAAGACTCCTCAAGTCAAGAGTTTCTTTTCACAACACGATCACTTTGAGTACAGCCAGGTTGCTGTCAAACAAAATGTTCATGAAGAAGAAGCTTTAGTGCCTGGTGACTACTGGCAAGTTGATCCACTACGTCGTGAACTCATCAGGCACCACAAGGACAAGAGAAGGAATCTACATGAGATGAATCGATCAGAAGAAACTCCAATTCCAAAAGATCAACTTATTGATGAGAGAGAGACACACATCGAGTACCAGAAGAGCAAGAAGAAGGTTCTTCACAAGGACAACTGGCGCACAGATAGGAAGAGGTTTTCTGAACAGAGTGAAGAGTTCTGGAAGGGCAAGACCATGTACAAGATCAAGGAGGACTACGTGATCCCAGATGATGTCGTCGGAAGTGACCTTGATCGAGCAAAGCCCTTTCGTGGAAACATCGATGATCTTTTTCACCCT